ATGCAGAGGTCTAGAAATGACTGACCAGGAAGGAAAACTACAGAAAGGGCCTGGGGATCATTAGTCAATCACAAGCTAAACATAACTTGATCACACACTAAACCTGTTGCAAGAAGAAAAAGCAGCAGCAAGCATCATTCTGGGATGCATTAGCGGCCGTTTTGTAAGCAGGACATGAGAAGTAATTCTCCTACTCTATTCCACATTGATTAGGCCTCAACTCAGGTATTGTGTCCAGTTCTTGGTACCACATTTTGGGAAAGAGGGGGATAAATTGGAGAAAGTCCAAAGAACAACAAAAATGATTCAATTTCTAGAAAACATGACCTATGATGGAAGATTACACAATTCCAACTTTTTCAGTCTGGAGAAGAGAAGACTTAGGCTAAGTCTAGACTGGAGTGTTAAATCGGAAAAAGATATACAATTTGCAGCACACAAATTTGGAAAGAGGCTTTTCCAACATGTGGCACATTTACACAGTGCCAAATTTCAGAAAAAAGTGTTTTTTCAACACATCCCTTATGCCTCGTGGAATGAGGTTTATAGGGATGGCAAAACAGCACATCTACTTTTTTGAAAAAAAATTCAGAAAAGTGGATGCATTCCTTGAATGTGGCATTGCTTTTCTGGGATTCCAGATGCAGCCTAAGAGGGAACACAATAGTTTTCAAGTACTTAAAGGGCCGTTACAAGAAGGGGAAAAAATTGTTCTCAGGATAGGACAAGAAACAATGGGCTTAAATTGCAGAAAGGATAGGTTAGGTTGGACATTAGGAAACACTTCCTATCAGGGCAGTTAAGCACTGGAATAAATTGTCTACAGAGGTTATGGAATCTCCATGATTGGAGATTTTTAAGATCAGGTTAAACAAAAATTTGTCAGAGATAGTCTAGTAAATACTTAGTCCTGCCATGAGTGCAGGGAATTGAAATAGATCTCTTGAAGTCCCATCTAGTCGTATGAGTCTCTGATTTTCCATACTTTTTTTGCAGTGTAAAGATTAGATATTCACTTCAATTCAAAATGAGGTTAGTGTAGAGAGAGGTTCAAAAATCAAGTAGACCTGTAACCTGAAGACTCATTGAGTGCTAAGGTTGCTCTTGCAATTGTATACAGTCAGGTATTCTCTGGGAGATTAAGGAAAAATTCAAATTGGTGTCTAGATACTCTGTAATTTTTCACATGCAAATCATTTCTGCAGAAGCCTTGCTACTGCTGAGATTTTCCATTACAACTATGGGCCAGGTATTGTACACATTCTCTTCAATTCAACCATGGCTGCTTGCTCAAATCCTGCATGGTCCCTTAGTGCAACTGTGTATTTTCTTACAAGGAAAACAAATTGAAAGAAAATTTAGACATACCTTGCTTTTTTTTCCCTTTGGAAATGGCAGAGTGATTTGTCAACATTTTCTGTGTCTCCTAGGAGCTGAAAGAATTTAATTTTCTCTCTAACAGAATATAATTCTGCATCTAAAACAAAAGCTCATTTGATGCTTTTTACAAACTGAAAGTTTCATAAAATAGGACTTCAGCAGAAAAAGGTTTGGTATTGATATTCAAAGTTAGGTGCATGTGAAATTCATTCTGTGCAAAGGGGCTAGTAGGAGGCCTCTCTACTACTTAGGTCAAGTCTATACTAGACCAGAAAGGGCAGCTTAAGACATACAACTCCAGCTATGTAAATAACATAGCTGGAGTTGACATACCTTAAACTGTGGTTGGCACCGTTTCCACAACAGGAGATTGATGGGATCAAACACTCCCATCTGCTTCCCTTACTCCTCACAAGGAGTCGTAGTACCGGTGCTGACCGGAGACACCCTCTGGCTTTGTCTAGAAATTTTTTTGCGCAAAAGGGCCAGTGTAGACAGCACAGTAGTGTTTTCCGCAAAAAAGCCCTGATCGCGAAAATGGCGATCGGGGCTTTTTTGCGGAAAACTGTCTAGATTGGCCATGGACGCTTTTCTGCAAAACGTACTTTTGCGGAAAAGTATCCTGCCAAACTAGATGTGCTTTTCTGAAAATGCTTTTAACGGAAAAGTTTGCCATTAAAAGCATTTTTGGAAAATCATGCCAGTGTAGACGTAGCCTCTGTGTTCAATTTAACTGGTCCTTACTAGATCCACTAAATTGAACACCAGAAGGTCAACCTCTGGTGTGGCAAGTGGAGATGTGGCTTCAATTTCTATCAAAATAGTGCTTAAGTTGGACTTCAAAGGTACAAAGACTTCTTGGATATGACCGGATGGTAGCAATAATTGTACATCTGCAATTGTGAGTGTTTAATACATATATGCAAATAACTAATGTGCATGAGCAAATTAGAAATGAGCACATGACATGACCAGTCAGATGCCCTCTAACCATTAGACTAACTATGCTGATTTGCACATCTACATAAATTAGGCACATACAAACGTCTATGCACAATTACACTGACCTAATTTTATCAGTATTTTTTCCAGAAGTGGTATGTTTATAGTAGTGAGTCCTAGCAGTATGAAGTACATATAGATTAATACTTATATAGATGAAAACAAAAGAAATGAGAAAAATTATGGAGAACATAAGAACTTAAGAAGGGCCATATTGAGCCAGATCAAAGGTCTATCTTAGCACACTCTTCTGTCTTCTGACTGTGGCCAATGCCGGGTGCCCCTCTCTAGTGGTTGGTTTTTTTTCCTATTCTGAAGTGAAGTTCTCTGATTTTTAAGACCCCAGTCCAACAAATCACCTAAGCATTTGGTTAACTTTAATCAAATGAGTAGTCCTAGGAATTTCAATTTATTCACGTGAATAAAGCTAAGCATGTGGATAAATGCTTGCAAGATCGAGGTATGAAAGAGTAGACACGGTGCAAATGCTTTTATATTTTCATGCTCGCTTATCCCGTACAGTTGAGCATTGTCCAATTCCAAATGAAATAACAGACACCACCAGGTTGTCAGTGATAACCATTTCTAATTCTCAGTTTCCCTCTAGGATTTAAATTAGAATCTCTTTTACAATAGTCAGTTCAGACAAATCCTGAGGCAAGTCCAGTCCTGCAGTAATTGCAATGGCTCTGATTTGTTTTCCTAAACCACCTGTCACTCTAGCTGTGTTTATTTTTGGAAAAAAAGCTTATGTTGTAGAAGGAGTAATTTGAAATCCTATGAAGGGCTCTCTTTTTCTGTAAGTGCTTAGGACACACAGACAAATGAACAAGCATGCATACAATCATACACGACATGATGAAAGGTGATAAGGTATGTTGAACTAGATCTTTAAACTGTCTTAAAAAGACATTTAAAAAGTAGAAGTTTTGTCAGATGGTTATCAGATACCATTATATACTAATTTTTTAAATTATTTGCTAAATATTTGAATACATTAAGGACAGATGGATCCCTCTGTCTGTACATGTGCCACCAGCTGACATCATTGAGAGTTCTGTCACATTCTAAAATTTCCCTTTGTTATGATGCCTAAACAAAAGTGTGATAATGGCTAGGCAGCTGGTGAGCTAAGACTATTGTCTAGCATGCTGACCAATGTTATTTCTTTGTTTTTGTTTGCACTCTCCCTGCTGTCTGTTTCCAGCAGCTGTCCTCTCATACTACACTGCAATTGTAAGCTCTCTAGGTCATGGACTGTCTTTTTGGTTTTGTGTGTGTTCAGCTCCTAGTACAATGATATCCTGATCTGGGACTAAGACTCATTGGCTCTATCATCAACTTGAACAGCAACAACAAAAATATTGGGAACTAGATGTTCCTGTGATATTCAAAACACATATAATTTGATACACATTTAGGACTTGATCTTGATGCCACTGAAATCAAAGGGAATTCTGCCTTTAACGTCTGGCTATACACAATAATTGCAGCTACTTTACTGAAAGTTAGATGTCTTTAATCCCTGTAGGTGTGGTTGTACAGATATCATTCTTATTTTGTCATTGCTATGTGCTTTGGTGTTGATGCGAATATTAATTAGAATTAGAAGTTATCACTTTCTTCCCCTAAGTCACTCCTTTCAGTTTTGTTTTCTAAATCTTTAGCTATGAGCTAATTAAGTACAATGCTAATGGTTTTTGGTCAGGATAACAAAGTATGCTGCTTGTTTATTAACTAATTGACAGAAAGTAAAGAGAATTTCAAAATCACCAACGTTTACATTGCAAGCCCTATACCTATTTTAAGTTGCTCATCAATGTTTACTTGCTGGACATGGGCTTAGCTAATTCAATGCTAACATTTCAGTAGGGAAGTATGGCCCAGTAATGTCTATTAATAACTTGCTGTATTTATGGAGGTAAGTTATATTAGTGCAGTAGTTCTCATCCTTTTTCAGCCAATATTTCCAGTCGTTTTTTATACTGCTTCCCTCCCATTACCACCACAGAGTTGCCCTCTGAAGTAGCTGAAATGCCTCATCCATCCTAGCTCCCTCATCACTGATGATTACACCCTCATCCCTTTGGATGGAGCATTATAACTTGAAGGTAAAAACCCATTCCCTAATTGATTGATCCAATATTAGACAGGGAATGACTGTGAAGGTGGTGTCTCATCTATTGTACAGGGTTTTTTAAAGCTATTAATATTAATATTTAGCATTTGAATGTTCCGGTGTTATACAAAAAACCAACAACAACAACAACTGATCTGGTAGCACTTTATAGACTAACAAAACATGTAGACGGTATCATGTGCTTTCATGGGCACAGCCCACTTCTTAACTCCAGTCATCTGAAGAAGTGGGCTGTGCCCACGAAAGCTCATGATACCATCTATATGTTTTGTTAGTGAATAAAGTGCTACCAGACCATTTTTGTTTTTTTCTGTAACAGACTAACTTGGCTATCCCCTGAAGCAGGTGTTATACGAACATTAAAAGTATAGTGTGTAGTGTGTCCTGTTTGCCTCTGTAGCGTGTCCTGTTTGCATCTGAATATGGGTGAAAAGAACTTTCAACATTCTAGTCACTTGAATAACTATCTTCTGAAAGTGAATACCTCTTATTGAGAGATCAAATTATTTTTTACCACCTTTCAGGACACATTTGTACTATAGTAGGGAAAAAAAGAGCATGCATAGTCATTTTAAGAGATAAATGAGCTTGCTTCAGTTTTGCTTGGTTTGTCATGCTTGGAAATATGTTCATGATATCTTCTGTGGCCTTTAGCCTGGTGTATAAATTGTTGTGTATGTTACTTCCACTGCTGTTGGCTGGTTGGAAACTCTGTTGCTGAGGAAAGAAAGGACACACGGCAGTAAAGCGATGTATTCCATTCTTCATGTCTTGTCAATTTTTGATCTGTCTAATGAAACTATAAATACATAGAAATGTTTGCAATTTGTTCTTCTAAAATGGTGTTATTCTTGACAAAATAGGAAAAATGAAAATTTTAGTCATATTTTCATCATTCATTTTCTGTGTATTTCCTCTCTTACCACCCTTCCACCCAGTTTTCATCAACAAAATAGAAAAAAAGAAAAGGGACGGTAAGAAGAAAAGGGAGAAGGAGGGGAGAAAGAAAGGAAAATAATAAAAAAGTTGAGAAACAGAACATTTTAGACACAAAAAATCCCCCAAATTTTTCATGAATTACATTTTCCTGTCCTTCCAACTCTTGTTATTAGTGACAACTGAGCAAACCAGTTCCAACAATTCATTGCTACTGTAGAAAAAGCCATTCAAATATACCTGTAAATGGGGCAAATCCTTTCTGTGGAGGTGTTGAATTTCACCGGGAGTGAGCTGTGTTTTTCTATATCCCTTCATAACCAGCACACTTATTTCAGGACAAGAGCAAAGTTGGAATGCATGGATTTGTCTATCACTACAGTATTTTAAACACTGTTAAACTTTCCAGGGACTGAGCAACTTAAGGGATATGGACCTGCCATCTTCATCGTTAATCTTGATCTGGCTCTGGTCAGAAGGGGAGTCAACGGCTTCCGTTGGCCCATGGGCCTGTGGAGTGGGGATGGGGCAGCTCTGAGCTACCAGAAGGGGGAGTGCTTTGAGCAGAAAGGGTGGGGCAAGAAGCAACCAGCCCTGAACACCACCTGAAGTGTTTCTGCCCCCTCGGCCCTCAGAGCAGTGCAAAGTATGTGGTGTGTCACTTCTGCAGTGATTTAAAAGGCCTGGGACTCCATCAGCAATGGCTGCTGCAATAGTAATGGCAGTGGACGGGAGACCCAAGTCCCCTTGAATCACTGGGGCCTGGGGCAATTGCCTCCTGTGCCCCCTCCAATGAGTGGGCTGGAAGGTCAGTAATATCTTATTCCCACCCTCTCACTGCAATTCTGTGGCCTACATGAAATGAATGTGTTGTCTCAGTCCAATTTTTAGTTGAGTTGCTCAGGATCCAGTACTGCATGATGTGGATAAGAGGCTACCCTGAGCTGACAGTGCTCCAAGGGATTAAGTGGAGCATAAGCTTGTGCTAGACCTTTGCACAGGAATGAATTTCACCCTGACTGAAAATGAAAATGTTGTTTAAAAAGAAAAACAGAAAACTCCTTTTCATCTCATGAAGTCTTCAGCCAAATTATTAAATCATATTTTATTATTGTTTCACTTAATAAAAAATAAACCCAAAGCTGGAGAGTTTTACCAGAAACATGTAAGTTTGTGGGTTAGCAAATGTTTAATATAAGCCTTGGAATAAGCCTTGCTACAAAGCTTAAAGTCTATCGAGCAGTAGTGTTAACTAATACGAAGATGGTGTCGCCAGGAGGGATTCGGCTTCCTTGATCACGGGGTGCTCTTCCAGGAAGGACTGCTTGGCGGAGATGGAGTTCACCTTTCCAGGAGCGGGAAGGCCTTGTTTGGACACAGACTGGCTAACCTCGTGAGGAGGGCTTTAAACTAGGTTCGACGGGGACAGGTGAGCAAAGCCCACAGGTAAGTGCTGAATGTGCGGGACTGGGAGATGGGTTGGAAATGGGGGGACTACAGCCTATAATGGCAAGGAGAAAGAAGGGTCAGGGCACAACAGGGAGGCAAGATCAAATCAGTATCTTAGATGCCTATATACAAATGCGAGAAGTATGGGTAATAAGCAGGAAGAACTGGAATTGCTAACCAATAAATACAACTATGATATCATTGGTATTACAGAAACCTGGTGGGATGGGACGCACGATTGGAATGTTGGTATGGAAGGGTACGGCTTGCTCAGGAAGGACAGACAGGGAAAAAAGGGAGGAGGGGTTGCCTTGTATATTAAAAATGTACACACTTGGACTGAAGTGGAGATGAACGTAGGAGATAGCTGTGTAGAGAGTCTCTGGGTTAAGCTAAAAGGGGTAAAAAACGAGGGTGATATCATGCTAGGAGTCTACTACAGGCCACCTAGCCAGGTGGAAGAGGTGGATGAGGCCTTTTTTAAACAATTAACAAAACTATCCAAAGCCCAAGATTTGGTGGTGATGGGGGACTTCAACTATCCAGACATATGTTGGGAAACTAACACAGCGAGGCACAGGCTATCCAATAAGTTTCTGGACTGCATTGGAGACAACTTTCTGTTTCAGAAGGTTGAAAAAGCTACCAGAGGAGAAGCTGTTCTGGATTTGGTTTTAACAAATAGGGAGGAACTAGTTGAGAACTTGAAAGTGGAAGACAGTATAGGGGACAGTGATCACGAAATAATAGAGTTCATGATCTTAAGGAAAGGTAGAAGGGAGACCAGCACAATTGAGGTAATGGATTTCAGGAAGGCAGATTTTGATAAGCTCAGAGAACTTGTAGGTAAGGTCCCATGGGAAGCAAGACTGAAGGGAAAAACAACTGAGGAGAGTTGGAAGTATTTCAAAGGGACGTTGTTAAGGGCCCAAAAGCAAACAATTCCGCTGTGTAGGAAAGATAGAAAATATGGCAAAAGACCAGCTTGGCTTAACAAGGAGATCTTGCATGATCTCAAAATAAAAAAGGAGTCATATAAAAAATGGAAACTAGGACAACTAACAAAGGATGAATATAGGCAAGCAACACGGGAATGCAGGGGCAAGATTAGAAAGGCAAAGGCACAAAATGAGATCAAACTAGCTACAGGCATAAAGGGAAACAAGAAGACCTTTTATAAATACATTAAAAGCAAGAGGAAGACCAAGGACAGGGTAGGCCCACTGCTTAGCGAGGAGGGAGAAGCAGTAACAGGGAACTTGGAAATGGCGGAGATGCTCAATGACTTCTTTGTTTCGGTCTTCACCGAGAAGTCTGGAGGTGTGCCTAACGTAGTGAATACAAGCAGAGAGAGGGTAAGTTTAGAAGATAGGATACACAAAGAACAAGTTAAAAATCACTTAGGAAAGTTAGATGTCAGCAAGTCACCAGGTCCTGATGAAATGCATCCCAGGATACTCAAGGAGCTGATAGAGGAGGTATCTGAGCCTTTAGCTATGATCTTTGAAAAATCATGGCAGACAGGGGAGATTCCAGAAGACTGGAAAAGGGCAAATATTGTGCCCATCTATAAAAAGGGGAATAAGAACAACCCAGGAAACTACAGACCGGTCAGTTTAACGTCTGTCCCAGGGAAGATAATGGAGCAGGTAATTAAGGAAATCATATGCAAACACTTGGAAGGTAATAAAGTGATAGGGAATAGCCAGCATGGGTTTGTGAAGAACAAGTCATGCCAAACTAATCTGATAGCTTTCTTTGATAAGATAACGATCTCCCCTGTCTTCCATGATTTTTCAAAGATCATAGCTAAAGGCTCAGATACCTCCTCTATCAGCTCCTTGAGTATCCTGGGATGCATTTCATCAGGACCTGGTGACTTGCTGACATCTAACTTTCCTAAGTGACTTTTAACTTGTTCTTTGTGAATCCTATCTTCTAAACCTACCCTCTCTCTGCTTGTATTCACTACGTTAGGCACTCTTCCAGACTTCTCGGTGAAGACCGAAACAAAGAAGTCATTGAGCATCTCCGCCATTTCCAAGTTTCCTGTTACTGCTTCTCCCTCCTCACTAAGCAGTGGGCCTACCCTGTCCTTGGTCTTCCTCTTGCTTCGAATACGATGGACGAACAACAACAATATAATACGCACTAAAAAAAATCTTTCTAAATCAAAGGGCTGCTAATGAACATTTTACCGGTAATCTAGTGCTATAGTGATTTTGACTTAAAGAAAATATATCTTTTAAGTCCTGATACTATTATGACTATTATTTTATTCATTTTTAGTCTACATTTTTACTGTCATGATATGTAATATATATGTGTGTACTTACAGTATGCTTTGTAACACTATATGTGGTGCTATAATGAAAAGTAGCATCTACATGATCACCTTGGAAGGAGGAGCAGGTGAATACACAATACTATGTCAAGAAGAAGAGAGTTTAATAAGCATGCATTATGTATAAACACTTACAAGAACTGAGCCAAAAGGTCACCTTTACAATGAAGCAGATGTATATAGTTCTCTTATAACCCTCAATTCGGGTTTTATCTTAATCACTGTACTGCTTATGCCTTACACAAAGGACCCTGCCACTCTATCTACCTCTTCTTTTATGGATTCAAAACCTACTCCTGGGGGAATTCTGTGTCATGCACATGCACAGAATTCATGACCCTGCAGATTTCTTTGCTTCTCCACAGAAGAATAACTTGTGATGGGGAAGCAAAGTGAAGCCAAAGGCAGCTGTGTGGCCCTCCCTGGCAACACAGGCAGGTCAGTTTGAGTGCCTGGAATGACCAATACAGATACAGATCACCACCATGGGTATGGGAAGAGGTCAGCAGTCATGTATGAAAGAGAGACACAGTCTGTCCCCCTCTCTCACCATGAAGGCATGCTCAGCATGGAGGGGTGTGTCTAGGGAGGTAGGCATGGCACAGGCGATCCCCTCAAGCAGAGTCAAATGTAGCAACTTGAGGCAGGGTATGGTTCCCATTGCCTTTGTGAATTCCCCCAAGAGCATAACACAGATGGGAAATTTTAAAGCACCTTTACATGGCTAAAGTATATAAAGACCAGTGTATTCTTATAAATGCTTATGGTGCTTTAAAGATTGGAACTGGTCTAAATTTGTTGACTGAAGAAAATTCTTAACATGTAGTCCATGAAGTGTATGCTACTGACCTTTCTGGAATTAATTGTGAGTTTGCTTCCCCAGCTCTCATTTGCACTTCAGTGGCCTATGACGGAACACTGAGAATATAGCTGCATGTATTTGTTGACTAAACATCCCTTATTTTAAGAGGGATAAGGGATCTTTCAGAAAAGGCTTTATTTTCCACAAGATCCGCATCTAGACTGGTGCTTTTTTCCGACAAAGCTCCATGCTGAAAAAAAGCGGCAGCCATTTTTATGCTACTGAAGAGGGGGAAATTTAAATCCCCGCTTCATTAGCAATTGCGATACGTCTAATTTGCATCCCTTTTCCGAAAAAGGGATGCAATCTAGACATAGCCAAAGTGTAAAACAGGAAATAAAGGGTCAAACCTGGCTACATTTCTATTAGATCATAGGGCTGGGGATTTTTTCCAACATTCCCCATTCCTATTATCCATTCATTGTATTATAGTTTAAATAGTAAATTGCAAGAAAGCAGAGAGTGTTTCCCCAAACTCACTTCATAGCAGGCCACATAGAATTAACTGGAATCTCGGAAGGGGTACTGTCCTTAGGTTATTTGCATCTATTCCATGATGCCTCTGACTCCAGCCAGTGGCTTGTTGCTAACTGCCTGAGAGACTGTTAGTATTCTTCACTATTAGCCTTTCATTATGTCAGAAACCTGTCGGGAATGGGGGTGAGAGAGTTACAGTTCCATTTCTCGTTCACTTAATGAAGTTAGTGATAGACTTTGAAAGAGATCAGTTGACTGATTTCTTGGCAAGCAGCCATGGCAAAATTCCTCATTAAAGTGTCTTTCAATCCTGCCTAAATTAAGGTGATCAAAGTTTCAGATGAAACAGCCAAAGCAGGTCTAAGATTGAAGCGCAGAAGGATCAATTTGCAATTTTGTTTTGTTTGTGAGAGATGAAAATCAGTGAGCTTAGTGAAGGGGAGGGCCACATTCCCAACCCAGACTTATATGATACTAGTCCAGTATCCATGATGGATCAATAATGTTTTCTTGTTGCTTGAAGAGCATACACAAATTTTCTAGAATGTTATGAAAAGGGAAATTAGGTATAGTCACGCTGGTAAGGATAAAATAAGAATCAACACAAAGCATTTTTTAATCATTTTTTTAAGTATGTATTTTTTTGCCCTCCTGTATACTTCATAATTCTCACTGGAGCTAACAGCAGAGAATTGAAATACCATAGAATCACATAAAATTGCATTACTTTTCTGTTTGCTAATTGTCTGCAAAGAGATCAAAGTGTTTTTTTTTTCAAATATAGTCATTGTTTGACATTATTAGCTGTAAATGTGCAAATAGCTCTACTAAATCTCTTGATCATTTGTGAGAAAATGATTACAAGTATTTAAAAGTGAAGCTACATGATTGGTCACCTAGTTTATGTGAGATGCTTCTGTTCTTGACTGGAGAAGCATAAATCATAGAATCAGATTTCCAATAAGAATGTTTTCAAAAAGATTCAAACTACTCTATCAACTACTCTGAATGTAAATGACTTAGGGTATGTCTACACTAGCCCCCTAGTTCAAACTAGGGAGGCTAATGTAGGCATTCAAAGTTGCAAATGAAGCCCGGGATTTAAATATCCCGGGCTTTATTTGCATCTTCCCATCCGGGCACCATTTTTAAATCCCCTTAGTCCAAACTAA